CAAATCTATCTTGGAAGAGGTACAATCAGAATGCTCCTTAGAAGTGATAATGGTGAGTCTTCATCTCATGTACTTTGGACATGTTAACAGGAGGGACGCATCCCTGGAGGAGGCCATAAAGCTCGGTAGAGGGTCAACAAAAAAGAGAAAGACTCCCAACAATATGAATTGACACAGTGACAGCAGCTATAGACTCAAACCTAACAATTGTGTAGGACCAGGCAGTGTTTCATTCTGTGCATAGGGTGGCTATTATTCAGAACTAACCTGAGGGCACTTAACAACAACTGAATTGTACACTTTAAAATTGTTTAAACATTTAATTTTCATGTTACATGAGTATTGCTTTGATACTTAAAAATAAATAAATAAATAACCAAGACAATTTTTTGAAGAGAAAAAGAAGGTGGGAGGACATCTTTCGGATATTTGTTGTTGTTCTTAAGTGCTGTCACGTCAGTTCCGACCCATAGCAACCCTGTACAGGGTTTCCAAGGAGCGGTTGGTGAGCTTGAACTGCTGGCCTTGCAGTTCAAACTGACTTTGCAGTCTGGTGCAGTAACCCACAGTGCCACACCAGGACTCCTATCAGATATTAAGACTTTCTATAAACTTATGTGGTGCTGTAGGATCAGCACTGGACTACGAAACACAGCATCAGCAGTTCAAACCCACCAGCAACTCCTTGGAAACCCTATACAGGGTCAGAACTGCCTGGATGACACTTAACAACAACAAAATAAACTTATTTACTATAAAACTACAGTCAGTCACATAGACAGTAAAAGGTAAATAAATAGATGCATAAAACAGAACAAAGATTTTAGATACAGATGCACGTGTATATGTATTTATGACAGAGATAGTACCCCAGAGTCAGGAAGGAAAACAATCTTTTTTTTATAAATCATCCTGAATGGGGTGGGGAATGGAAACTTTGACCTATACCTCACACCATGCACATAAATCAATTCGGGTAGATTGTAGATCTAAGCATAGAAGGCAAAATAAATAAATACTTTCATAAGATAAATAACAGGAATATTATCTTGAAACTGAATATGGAGAAACTTCTAAAATTAGCCATAAAATATATAAACATAAAGAGATTGATAAACTAAAGCACCTTAAAATTTAGAATTTCTATTCATGAAAGAAAAGTTTAAGAGATTTTTTTTTTTTAAGGCAACTAGAATGAAAATATCTGTAATAAATTTAACTAACAAAGGGGGTAGAAGAACAAGGTAGATAGGGGAACAATGACACAGGTTTGCATGGGCTAAATGGG